ACAGTAGCCGCGTCAGCCCCTTTGTTTAGATTTAAAGCTTTCGCGACTGCAAGGATTCATCTTCTTTAGTTCTCTCGGTAAAGTCACGTAGAGTGAGAATAAAATAATAAATTAACCAAACAATAAAATAAAACAATAAAATTCTCGCGACGTTTCGGCCACAACACAAGTGGCCTTCTTCAGGTGAATGGAACAGACCTGTCGGGACGACAGAGCTTCAGTGAACGTTGTTAAGATTCGCAGCGTCTTTTAAGCTGGTTTAGAGAAGCGAGGCACCTTGACAAAGGGGTTTACATATAAAACAAGAGAATTTAGCATTGAAACGTCGTGAGAATTTAATTGTGTTATTTTATTAATTTATTATTTTATTCTCATTCTACGTGACTTTACCCAAAGGACCAAAGACGAAGCCCCTTTGTTGTTGCACAGTGCGTTCGCGGTTCGAACTCCAGCGTCCGCCCTGGTTAACACTGCGGCCGTTGTATTAACCGCGTTTATTATTATTATTATTTTCATTTAACCAGGTAAGGCCCACTGAGCTATGCGTCCATTGATCAGAAGCGACCTGGCCGTCGCAAATGATAGTTCAACGAGGTGGCCTATCGCGTGGGAACTCTGAACGCGTGACGTCGATTGTGAATGCGGAGGGGGGGAAAGCTGGAGGACCTGGAGAAAAAATCCACACGATCAGAGAGAGAGAGAGAGACACACACATGCAGACTCAAAATATATAGGCGCCAGGCTCAGGATCGAACCTACGACCTCCTGTATACCAGGCGAGGGAGATAACATTTCACCACCGTTGCTAGATGTCGTAATTCGACTGCCACCGCGCGCCTTCTGCCTCACTCACAAGTGAACGCTAAACACTCCCTGACGTCACTTGCAAGAGTGGGCCATTGCTGTGCCGCCCTTACGAATCCTAATTCCGCCCAAAGTCGAAATGGCACCGCAAATTACTAGATTGGGATTTCACACACACACACAAAATTTAATCATAATCTTTATTTATCCTGGAGAAATTCGATGAGCTATGAAGCATTTTTTCACAGATGTCCAGTAGGACAGTAGCAGCAATCATTGGCACGCCACCTCCCCTACAGACAGATTCAAGCACAGGGACAGCTGTCACTGGGGGTGCCCCTAGGCTCGACTCTACACAGCAGCGATCATCGCCCCCCCCCCACCCCTCTCCCGCCTACTGGGAGACTCATGCACAGGGACAGCTGCCACTGGGGGTTCCCCTGGGCGAGGCCACACCGCAGCGATTATTGCCCCCCAGGTGCTGAGTCGCCTTGAGTCCAGAGGGGGCAGGACTTTGCTATTGAGAGTCGCTCACTCAGTCTCTGCCCCACCTGCCCGACCACCCACGAGGGAGACGATTTGCAATTTTAGTCTAAAATCATCATCATCATCATCACACGACTCGAGGACTAACGAGGGATCTCTGTTCCTCGTTCCACTTTCACCTCGGTGAGGTCACATGGGAGGAAAGGTGATGGATCAGGGGGTCAGGGGCTCAGAGCCGGCACCGCTGAGATGGCCGGGTTCCAATCCGAGTTTCTGCCACAGCTTGCCGTGAATGAATCGTGGTCTCCCGCGTACAGCGAGACAATGCTTTGCAGCACGGAAAGCATTTTTCCAAGGGACACGGCAAATTGGCGCGATTGCCCTTGGCCCCCCGCATTTAAGGGGGAGGGGGCTCGCGTTTCGAGGTCACGGTGTCAGATACAATGCTTACGATTTAGTTTGAAGGCGTCGGTTGTGATTCGCCCCCGGAGCCCCACAGCGCGACCCCCCCCCACCCCCTCCCCCCCCACCCCGCTAGGGATGGCCCTGGCATGCGTGGTCACCAAATAAATGACTGCACCCTCACGAAAAGGAAACAAACCCCCATCACGTAAAATTTTGGTGAGAATTCCAGCTCTGAGAATATAAAGGGGGCCGGTTTGAACGGAATACAGCGAGCACTACTTTCAGTGGCTGGGCTTGTGTGGGAGAGAGAACGGCCTGCCCCCCTGATCTGTGAATCGGTGTGTCGCTTGATGAAAAAAAGGACGAAGGGATCTTAGGAGGTAGTTCTGCGATGTCCACTTCCGTGGCCACGATTGTGTTGCGAGATTTCCGAATTGATTTTCCGTCCCGTTACGACGACGTAGCGGTGCTGGTGCCGTCCGGGTTTAAACCGAGGCAGAAATAAAGAGCAAATGCAATGATTTAAAGTGACTGTTTATCTCTTTGCAGGGGTGGGCTTCATGAAGACTGCGCAGAATGCCTAGTGAGTCCCGCATCTTTCTCTTTGAGTTTTGTTTTTTTTACGACGGACGAGTTTTCCCAAGATATGTTTGCGTTTTTATCTTTTGTTTTACTGGCTGGCTGGCTTCCTGGCTGCGTGGCCGCACACACACGACCTTCGCCATGGGAGTGCGCATCATCTCAGCAGCATCGGTCAACGCAAGCTCAACTCTGCCACGGCTTCGACATTCAGTATCTCATCAGCAACAGTCACGCATGCCTTGAACCAACGCTGGTGAACTGACTGTTTTTGTTTTTATAGGCAAAGACCCTCTTAGGTATGGGCCCTAGTTCGATGCAAAACCATAAATATACAACGCAGAATAATCATCGGCGTTGTGGACAATACGCTTCATCAGTATCATTATTGTGAGATTATTAACCCATGATGGCCTCGCTGAGTCTCAAGACTCCGTTCCAATGGGGTCCTGCCAGGGGTTCGCAATCGGGGGTGATGTGGCTGCTCACAATGTGTGTGTCACCCCAGTTGAGTCACTTGCAGGCACTGGGGTAGTTGTGGAAAGAGTGGAGAGGTTTCTGTACCTGGGCGGTGCGCTTATGACCAGCGCTGGTTTGACAGCAGAGCTTTCACTCCGACTCAGTCGAGCGTCATTATCTTTTCATCGCCTGAGTAACACTGTGTAGAAGCTACCTGGTTTGTCGCTCCACACGACGCGTCGGGTCTATTAGGCCACAATCATGCCCTCCCTACTCTGTGCTTGCGAGACGTGGACCCCCCCCCTAATAAAACATCTTCGCCGGTTGGAAACATTCAGGCTGGCCTGACTATGATCCATCCTGGGTTCAACCAGGCTGGATTGTGTGAGGCTACAAATCTTGATTTGAAGCTTTCGTGGCTGCAGGAATCCATCCTCTTTGGTTCTTTCGGTAAAGTCACGTAGGTAGAGAAATAATAAAATAAAATAAAACAAAAAAAATTCACGACGTTTCGATCGCAACACAAGCGGTCGTCCTCAGGCGGAAAAAAAAATCCAGCAGTGGATCTGCTGAACACAGCGAGAGAGCCGTTACAACAAAGAGGTTATATACGTGGCGATGGGCAAGCAAGTGCGGTCTGAGCTGGAAAGGAATTCCATCCCCGGACGCAAGCACGTCAGTTGTGTTAATGCGGGAGATTAGGGAGACAGCGATTAGAGAGAGAGAGTTTAGCATGAAATGAGCTTCCGTCGCTGCATAAGAGCATCGCCTCCGCATATGCGCACAAGAGCAGTGTTAATAGGAGATTAGCACTATGTTGATGGGAGAGATTAGGCAGGGAGATTAGGGGGATTAGCAAGTTGAAATCGTGTCTATGTGTAACACAAGCTGCTGCGGCGCTGCCAACTTGCGCTGTGAGAGGCAAGCGCGTCCACGCAAGAGAACCACCGCAACGGTGGTCGCGCCAGTGAGACACAGAGCCCATCACACAGCCAGAACCATCGATACATCGAGGCTGAGGGAGCAGAGGTGGCCATGTTAGTGAGACCCCAGCCCGTTAATGCAGAGGCACCTAACAGGGCAATGCAACTCAGAGAGTCGGCGATAACAGCCAAACGGCAGGGTAGAATGGAAGCACCACGGCAAGTAACGGCTTTGCCTGGTCAATAACGTCCTTCCAATGATTGCTCAGCTTATACCCACCTTCCCAGTTGAAATTGTCTCTGTGTTTATATATCTGGATGGCTTCGTGGACAAATCTTTGATGGTAGCCCGAAGGTTTGCAGAGGACATTGGTCTCGGAAAAAAACAATATCGTGCGAGCCCACTGCATTACAGTAATGATCAGCCACTGCAGAGGTATTGGTTCTGCCGTGTTTCAAATCTGCCTTGTGTTCGCGAACACGGTCCGTTTCGCTTCCCCAATGTAACCGCTGCTGCCGCAGACACAACTTAGTTTGTAGATGCCAGGGTATTGTAAGTCTCACTGGCGCAACCACCATTGTGGTGGTTCTCTTGCGTGGACGCGCTTGCCTCACAGAGAAGTTGGAAGCGCCGCAGCAGCTTGTGTTACACATTGACGTGACATTAACGTGCTAATCCCCCTAATCTCCCTGCCTAATCTCTCCCATCAACATAGTGATACTCTCCCATTAACAATGCTGTTGTGCGCATATGCGGGGACGATACTCTTACGCGGCGACGGAAGCTCATTTCATGCTAAACTCTATCTCTCTCTCTCTAATCGCTCTCTCCCTAATCTCCCGCATTAACACAACTGACGTGCTTGCGTCCGGGGATGGAATTCCTTTCCAGCTCAGACCCCGCTTGCTTGCCCATCGCCACATAAACAACCTCTTGTTGTAACAGCTCTCTCGCTGGTTCAGCAGTTCCACTTACTTGATTTCTTTTTCCGCCTGAAGACGACCGCTTATGTTGCGATCGTGAAAATGATTTTTTATTTTATTTGATGATTTTTCTACCTACGTGACTTTAACGAAAGAACCTAAGAGTAAGGTTACACATCCTTGAACGATCTGGAGACGGCCCCATCGGTGAGCTCCTCTGGTAGGCAAGGCTGCGTTGGCTGGGCCAAGTAGCCTGCATGCCCAGCCCCTCCCCCACCCCCCCCCCCACCCCCATGCCAAGCAGCTTCTGTTTGGCCGCATAGAGGGGGCTAAAAGGACATGACACGGGCTGGAAAAAAGATAGACTGATGTGGTACAGGAGGAGGTCGAGCTCAGAGGACTAGCCGAAGACTGGTACCAGTGGTGTCAAGATCAACCTCTTTGGAGGAAACTCGTGAAAGACGCTGCTACTCGGCAGTTTGAGACAGTCGCCCTCTGGCAACAACGGAGGGCAGAGGAGCGACGCTCACAACAACGAGCGGAGCAGTCACGTGCGGTCAGGGGAGGCAGGGGAGGGCAGAACCTCACGTGTCATACTCCAATGAAAATAGCTGTTACTAAAAGTAAACAAATCATAAGAAAATAAATATTAAGATTGTTCCACTGATCTGTGTTATAAATGCAATTTCTGTACGATTCCAATAATTTTTATAGTCAAAATCGCCAATTTTGCTGAGCTCCGCTGCGAATGCAGGGGGGGGGCGAGGAGGCAGCGGCGAGCTCTGCCTCCCCTCTGATTGCGCAACCCCTCAGACACTGGATGGAGCACGGGCAATAAGCGCGTGCCTATTACTATCTCAGTGTGTGTCACCAATGTAATGTTTGTAGACCCCTTCATTTCATGTGCTCGCCTTCCATACTCCAGGTAACTTATTTCACGTATGTGTATTTAGATATTTAGGCTCGCTGGTCTCGTCATAAAACTGCAATGAAAAAGCACCAGGGGAGGCAGCTATCACATCTGCCTCACTGAGGGGGGCGTGTCAGACACGCCCTCCTCAGTGAGGACACGCCCCCCTCAGTGTGTAAATCTGGCTCTGATACGAGACAGTGCCTCCCCAGCCATTTACCTCACCGCACGTCACAATGGAGCATAGCACCTGGCGACTAAAACACAGCAAGTTGGCACAGTAGGGAGCACAGGTGGTGCATCTGCCAATTATCTCAGTCAACCCATGGCACCTGGGTCTGCTCCGTGACCTCCTGCCAGTGAGTGTTCGACACCTCATAGCCCGGTACAAGCGCCGTGGTGACCTCACCGCCACTTCGTGACGAATTGTGGTTGTTGTTGTTGTTGTGTTTTATATTCTCTACGACAACACTAACGATGCATTGTCGCTCATTTATATTATCGGTTAAGATATTTTGCTCAAAAGTGTACATCTGCCTAGGCTACTTCTCAGCGTGGTTGAGCTTTGGACGACTACGGTTCTATTGCTCGGGGAGTGGTGGGTAAGGGGTGGTAGGTTGGGGGGGGCAAGGGGTAGTGGGGAGGAGGGGGCAGTGTGGCAATGAGCAAAGGCCCACGATTCTCAATCAATGTCGCTCGTGTCTCCCTACAATAACAACAGCAGAGGTGGCGGCGATGGAGGAGGAAGAGGAGCAAAAGAGGCATCTCAGCCAGACGCCGGCCGCCACCGAGGCAAAAGCGCAGCAGCTAAAGCAGCTCAAGCAGCTAAAGAGGATTCCGACGATTACTACACGAGCCTCATGCCCACCGGCCAGAAGGCCTCCGCGGCCCGAGACACCACACCGCTGCCCAACCCGCCCAGTGGTCAGGCCCTCACCACCGTGTAAACCACAAGTGGCCTGGGTGAATTTTTTTTATCAGAGCTGACTGGGTGGCCCCAGAGGTGATGAGGACGCTGAGTGGGAAGCGCCGAGAATCTGGTGTTCAATTCTGGGTTTCAAGCTGCAAGGCCACCAGCGATTACACCGGGGTCTCAAAGTGTAGCCCGGTCACCAATGACTCGCGTAGTAATCCATAGGCTCAGATAGAATCCCATTGACTCGCATAGAGACTCCATAGGCGTACGTAGAAACCCACAGACTCAAGTTAACTGAGTCGCGATTAAACCGGGATCTCGAGTGCAGCGAGTTTATGGTCTAAGTCTGGTCAGCAATGACTCAGATAATCGTAGACTCTCAGCTGTTACCAAGGCTATGAACACAGCTGATACCATGACCATAATCGCAACTGTTATCAGTGCTATAATTAGTCACAGCTGTTATCAAGGATAAAATCACAGCTGTTATCAATGGCTATAATCGCAGCTGCTATCAAGGCTAAAATCACAGCTGTTATCCAGGCTATAATCACAGCTGTTATCATGGCTATAATCACAGCTGTTATCATGGCTATAATCACAGCTGTTATCTTGGCTATAATCACAGCTGTTATCATGGCTATAATCACAGCTGTTACCCGGCTATAATCACAGCTGTTATCCCGGATTTAATCACAGCTGTTATCCTGGCTATAATCACAGCTGTTATCAAGGCTATAATCACAGCTGTTATCTCGGCTATAATCACAGCTGTTATCATGGTATAATCACAGCTGTTATCCCGGCTATAATCACAGCTGTTATCAAGGCTATAATCACAGCTGTTATCATGGCTATAATCACAGCTGTTATCCCGGCTATAATCACAGCTGTTTTCTTGGCTATAATCACAGCTGTTATCAAAGCTATAATCACAGCTGTTATCATGGCTATAATCACAGCTGTTATCAAGGCTATAATCAGAGCTGTTATCATGGCTATAATCACAGCTGTTATCATGGCTATAATCACAGCTGTTATGATGGCTATAATCCCAACTGTTATCCTGGCTAAAATCACTGCTGTTATCATGGCTATAATCACAGCTGTTATCCTGGCTATAATCACAGCTGTTATCAAAGCTATAATCAAAGCTGTTATCAAGGCTATAATCACAGCTGTTATCTCGGCTACAATCACAGCTGTTATCCCGGCTATAATCACAGCTGTAAACTTGGCTAGAATCACAGCTGTTAACTTGGCTAAAATCACAGCTGTTATCCCGGCTACAATGACAGCTGTAATCCCGGCTATAATCTCAGCTGTTATCCTGGCTATAATCACAGCTGATATCAAAGCTATAATCAAAGCTGTTATCAAGGCTATAATCACAGCTGTTATCCTGGCTATAATCACAGCTGTTATCCTGGCTATAATCACAGCTGTTATCCCGGCTACAATCACCGCTGTTATCCCGGCTATAATCACAGCTGTTAACTTGGCTAGAATCACAACTGTTATCAAAGCTATAATCACAGCTGTTATCAAGGCTATATATTCACAGCTGTTATCCCGGCTACAATTACAGCTGTTATCCCGGCTATAATCACAGCTGTTAACTTGGCTAGAATCACAGCTGTTAACTTGGCTAGAATCACAGCTGTTATCCCGCCTACAATGACAGCGGTAATCCCGGCTATAATCACAGCTGTTATCCTGGCTATAATCACAGCTGTTATCAAAGCTATAATCAAAGCTGTTATCAAGGCTATAATCACAGCTGTTATCCTGGCTATAATCACAGCTGCTATCAAAGCTATAATCAAAGCTGTTATCAAGGCTATAATCACAGCTGTTATCCTGGCTATAATCACAGCTGTTATCCTGGCTGTAATCACAGCTGTTATCCCGGCTACAATCACCGCTGTTATCCCGGCTATAACCACAGCTGTTAACTTGGCTAGAATCACAGCTGTTATCAAAGCTATAATCAAAGCTGTTATCAAGGCTATATATTCACAGCTGTTATCCCGGCTACAATCAAAGCTGCTATCCCGGCTATAATCACAGCTGTTAACTTGGCGAGAATCACAGCTGTTAACTTGGCTAGAATCACAGCTGTTATCCCGGCTACAATCACAGCTGTTATCCCGGCTATACATTTCGAATCTTCATTTATAAGATCAGTTTGCAATCCGGCCTCCTGTCCATCACTTTGTGACGAACATGTTACTTCCTTGGTCCTTAGAGGAATCATTAGTTCGTTTCATGTTGGTCGATGCAAATCAGCAAGCGTGGACTATCCACTGCTGGGCGCCACGGTGGCGAGATGTTAACTACCTCGCCGAGTATACAGGAAGTTGTGGGCTCGATCCAGACCCTGACGCCTACTGTATATTTGGAGTTGGCGTGACCTCCGGTTTTCCCCTCCACATGTATAATCAACTTGCACTTAGAGTATTTGACTGCTATACATAATAAGCCACTTCGTTGAGCTATAATTTGTGGCCAGTTCGCTTATGAAAAAGAGATAATCGCGCAGTGGGTCTTACTTGGTAAAACAAAAAAAAACGTTTCGTTTTAAATTTTGATTTAAAGCTTTCGTGACCGCAGTGATTCATATTCTTGGTTCTGTCGGTAAAGTCACGTTGAAGGGAAACAAAATAATAAAATATATATATCAAACAATAAAATTATCACGACGTTTCGACTGCAACACAAGCAGTCGTCATGTGATGATGACTTGCCGTTGGTTTTCACACCTGATGATGACTGCTTGTGTTGCAGTCGAAACGTCGTGATAATTTTATTGTTTGATATATATTTTATTATTTTATTGTTTCCCTTCAACGTGACTTTACCGAAAGAACCAAGAATAAGTTTCGCTTTAGTTTTTAGATGAAGGCCTCCTGAATCCCGTTCTCCTGCGATGTAACAACTATCGACCCAGCACCATCGGCTGCACGCCAGCTGATTCTCCTTCTTCTTCGCGTCGAGCGTCCCTCTCGGACGCGTTCCCACCACTCGGCTCCCGCTCCATCCTCATTCTCTAAGTCGAAGACGTCATCGTTCCCGCAGCCGTTGATGCCAACCGCCACACCTCGCCATCGATGGACTTGCCCCTGCCATAGGAATGTGTAATTTCCCCCACTGGCTCAGCGCCGAGAACGGGAAACGAGCACCGATTCCTCAATGCTCATTTGCCCGGTAGAAACTCGCTCCGTCCCCTCCTCACCTCCCTGCCCTGCTCCCAGGCAGCCAGCCAGCCAGCCAGCGAGTAAAACTGATTTTTCTAATCTAACATACAGTGTGGCATGGTTGTTTAATAGTGTCTCAAGACGAACTTTTCAGGAGCGTTCTGCTGAGTCCTGCTGTAAGAAGTCACGCTTGCTGTGTGCTTGCAAAGTAACCAATCAGCTCGCTCGAATTCACAAATGCTCCGTGTGCGCATAGACGCGAATTAGATTAATCGCGTTGTTCAATCACCGAGGTTATCGCTCGGAGGTGGTTGGTTTTCTGCCAAGCAATGATTCCTCGACCCTTCGGGCTGTGTTCTATCGGTAGACGACGAACCAACGTTGTGACTAATCGTGACGAGAACAGACGTGTCCCGGTCTGGCCTCGCGAGACCTGCCGGGTTCATATTGACCGAATCCCCGTGTTTGTGTCCCCTGCACCCGCGTGTCCACTCCCCCCCCACGCCCCGAGTGGGGCATGATGTCGTCATAGTTTAGGTGGGGCAGTGTAAGGGCGCTACAGTCGCAGGCAGATGTTAACTCCCTCGCCTGATATACAGGAGGTCGTGCGTTCGAACCCGACCCTGACACCTCGTGTATATTTGGAGTGTGCGTGTCTCTCTCTCTCTCTCTCCCCGTGGGGGTTTTCCCTCCACATTTAGAAACACTCGTTTAGAGTGTTTGGCCGCTATATATTCCCACGCGACGTTAAGCCGCTTCGTTGAGCTCTCATTTGTGGCCAGGTTGCTTCTGGAAGAAGAAAAAAAGAGAGAGCTACGGTATAGCTCAGTGGGCCTTAGCTGGTAACATAACGGAGAGCGGTGTGGGGAGCGCGGGGGGCTTCCACGTTAGCTGCACGCTTCTCTCGTGGCGGTCAGTGGTGGGAGGGGGGTAGCGGTTAGCGCGCTGCGCTACGAACCTGGCGCCCCCGTGTTCGATACCGGCTCAGGGCCACCAACATCGGTGACGACTATCTGAACCGGTCCTAGGCCTTCCCTAGGTCCACTCAACCTCAATTGAGTTTCTGTTGCGGTTTTGTTGGAAGCATTGCCACTCGGGAGACAAAGGCGGCTTTGTGTACCGTGCTGGCCTTCATCGGTGTTAGTTAATTGCCCCAAAAGTTTGTTAAGGCTGCATGGGGGATCTTTGTCTTTGTTTGGGGGTGGGGGGGGGGATGAGATCTCTTGAGTGTTTTAGTGCCACAGGCGACTCGATCCGCTGCGGTCCCGCTTAACCCTTGTTAACAACGCGGTTGTGAAATATAATCAATAAAATTTTACAAACACGACCTTTCAGTTTAACCACTCGTGCTTTTGTGTCGAAACAACGAACGCGGCCGACGACAGGGGCGCCCGTGGTGATCCCTGGCCGCCGGGAGGAATTGCGACAGAGCAGGGGGAAATGCCGAGTTGATGTCTCTTCCCCATTCCCCTCGATCTCTGCGCCCATGAACTTCTCCCTCCCACGCGTGTCGTCACAGACGAGCGGGCCGCTGTGCCGCGTGGGACACTGTGAGGGTGGGACACTGTGAGGGTGGGACACTGTGAGGATGGGACACTGTGTTTGAGGGTGGGACACTGTGAGAGTGGGACACTGTGAGAGTGGGACACTGTGAGGGTGGGACACTGTGTTTGAGAGTGGGACACTGTGTTTGAGGGTGGGACACTGTGAGAGTGGGACACTGTGAGGGTGGGACACTGTGAGGGTGGGACACTGTAAGGGTGGGACAATGTGTTTGAGGGTGGGACACTGTGAGAGTGGGACACTGTGCGTGGGACACTGTGAGGGTGGGACAATGTGCGTGGGACACTGTGTTTGACGGTGGGACACTGTGAGGGTGGGACACTGTGAGGGTGGGACACTGTGAGGGTGGGTGGGACACTGTGCGTGGGGTACTGTGAGGGTGGGACAATGTGCGTGGGACACTGTGAGGGTGGGACACTGTGAGGGTGGGACACTGTGAGGGTGGGACACTGTGTTTGTGGGTGGGACAATGTAGCTATAAAACTATTTTCCCTACAGATGTCCAGGAGGGGCGGGTTAGCAAGTGGCAACAACAAACAATGTAATATCCACAATATATATTTATTTTGGGTTAGAGCGCGTAAATATATAAATGTTGCGTCGTTAAACCCGCCACCACCCGACACAGCCAATTAGTAAGGTTTGTCACGTAAACAGAACGTGGCCAATTCGTCACTAGTACAGCACTAACCGGTTGTGTGTTGGAGAGCAAAGCCACAACATTTACAATCTGAGTGCGACATCTCGCCAGCAATTACGACCAGCTTCACCAGGCGACGTCCAGATTCGTGGAGAAATCCACCTTTTCCATTCCTTAAATAGAGGCGTAGATGTGGTGAAGTCATCTTGCGAGCCCGTCACGCGCGGAGCGGGGAGGAGGAGCAAGTCATGAACGCATAAACGTTGCAATGGGCATCCATCGCCGGTCGAGTTATTCATACGATGTTCTTGTGTCACCTATCGTTTGCGTGCAATAAACTAGCAGCAATTCTAGATTTGAAGTTTTCGTGACTGCAATGATCCCGTACTCTTTGGTTCTTTACGGTAAAGTCACGTGGGTAAAAATTAAAAAAAGTTAATCAAATCACGACGTTTCGGAGGCAGCACAAGCTTCCATCATCAGGTGTAACCAGCACAGCAAAATGACTGTAAAGAGAGCTATTTTGTAATAAGAGATTATTATATAGGGTAACAGGAGGGGGGGGGGGGAGCCAGGGAGGACGGATGCAGGGTAGGGGGGGGGGTTGTTGGGAGTGGGGGATGGTAAAGCTCTGGATGCTGTTCCTGTTAGCAGTACCGTTTTAATGTCTGCGTACACGTGGTCCCCATTGATGTATGGTGACCTGTATAGGCATGCATTTAAACAATGTGTTATTTGACGATTCGCTTCTAAGCAAGCACTGAACCTGTAGCTATCTGGACAGTTAAATTCATTTTTATTTCTCTCAATTTCGATATATTCTCCAATTAGTCTTGGCCAGTAATAACTAGTTTTGCACAGAACTTCAACATTAGCAAAATCAATTGAGTGTCTTTGTTGGCACGCGTGTTCTGCCACTGCCGACAGTTGTATTAAGACGGTATTTAATATTTATTTGGTGTCGTTTTGGTCTCGTGCTGATCAATTGCCCTGTCTGCCCAACATAGCTTTTGCCACAAGTGCATTTAACCTTCTGTTGATAGCTTCGGTAATACATCTTTAGTACCAGATATTAGTTTCTGTATTTTATGTACTGTGCAAAATATCACTCGGATGTTTTGTTTAAAAAAAAAAGGCTAGTTATCAGATACTCCCATAATGTACGGTATTTTAATAGGTTGAATTACTTAGTCAGTTTCAACTCTCGTGTTATTTGATTTGGTTTTGGCATTCAGTGCCCTGTTGATTTGTGCATCATTGTAACCGTTAAATTGCAGAGCTGCTTTAACATGTTGAATTTCACTTCTCAGGCTATGACCATCTGACACTCTCTTAGCCCGATGTATGAGCCTTTTGATGAGAGAGTATTTCTGTGCGGGGTGATGGTGTGACTCTATTCAGTAAACGCTGTGTGTTATTTTACCATTTATGCCACGCTCGAGTAGCATATCCAGAAATGGGCGAGTTCTGTTAACTTACGCTTCTATGGTGAACTGGTTGGATGATTTATGCGAGTTGAGATCATTTAGGAATTCTAGATTTGAAGTTTTCGCGACTGCAAGGATCCCTAAATTCTTTGTTTTTTATTTTTACCTACGTGACTTTACCGAAAGAACCAAATAATTTAGGGATTCGTTAAGTGTGTCTTTGCCGTGTGGCCAGATCACCAGTGTGTCATCCACATATCTAAACCAAGCAGAGGGTTTTAATAAGCTTGAGGCTTTTGATTTAAAGCTTTCGTGACTGCAGTAATTCATATTCTTAGCTCTTTCGGTAAAGTCACGTTGAAGGGAAACAATAAAATAATAAAAAAAATATAAAACAATACAAATTCTCACGACGTTTCGACCATAACACAAACGGTCGTCATCAGGTGTGTCGGTTTGCATTAATTTAAATTTATTTTAATGCAAACCGACACACCTGATGACGACCGTTTGTGTTATGGTCGAAACGTCGTGATAATTTTTATTGTTTTATATATTTTTTTATTTTATTGTTTCCCTTCAACGGGACTTTACCGAAAGAGCTAAGGATATGAGCTTGAGGCTGTTGCTTCAAAATCTTCCATGTACAAATTCGCAATCACAGGAGACAAAGGCGAGCCCATTGCTGCTCCTTTTTTTTTGTTTATAGAGATTACCTTTCCACAAGAAATCGGTGTTCTTTAGATAGTGTTCAGCTAGTCCTGGGATATTTTTG